ATGTGATCGATTACTACTCTGGCCCTGATGACCCGAATGGCGAGCCAGTGTTTTACCTCGATGTCAGACCAGCCGTTACACCTACGCAAGCTGTTGAAAGAATGATGAGGTGGGGAGGTGATGTTTGGTATCGAGCATCTGGCGCAGCGGTTAGGGAGAAGCAACACAGCTAAGAATTTTAGACCCTGAGTTTTTCAACCAGGCCTTTCGAAACACGGGCGTTTTTGTATGGAAGGATAGGCATAGCCTAGATACGCATGGCTACGGACAGGAGGTGATGGATTTATGGACCGAGACGTTCTCATTCCGGGTTAGTTCCTCTTGCCTTGCTTACGTTTGGGTTTGATGTTTTACGGTCAATATTGCTATCTATCGCCTCTCCCCTCTACGAGTGTATTGTATACTATCATGATACCATGTCAATTTAATCGAACAGTCTTCCTTTCAGAGATTTCTTGCAATTTCCCAATAATCAAACCTCCTTTATTACACGTGACATTCTCGCTCGTGATCCCCGATAAGATAAGAGCTTTCACGTCACAAAATTCTACCCCGCCATCGCGGTCTTGACACCCCACACACCACAACACATCACTAGAGCCATGGCAAACAAACCATTTGTTTCAATCCGTAAGTGGATCAAATGGGGTGTGCGTATATCTTCTCCCCTACCACCCGAATCTGCTAACAAAAATAGGACAATCCAGCTTCGGAAAACACCAAGTAAATACACATTGCTGCTCTCCCTCAGCACCTAATTAACACCCAGCTAGTACACTTGTTCTCACAACTGCCGCCAAATACTTTGTCGACGTGCGGATATATCTTCCAACATCATCTGCAGAGTTATCATTGCCATCCTCCAAACCACTTCCTTCTTCACGACTTGAATGGGGCTTTGCTGGCACTGCAGAAAGTACACCTGCAAGCACTAGTGCACAGGGGAAGCTAGAAAGGCCAGCACATACAAAATGGACGCATTGGGTTGATAATAAGAGTGCTATTGGCATTGAGGTCCAGGACGAGGGAGATATGTATCCTGATGAAGGAGAGAAGGAAGAGGTTATCGAACGAGGGCATATGGTCAATCCTGCTACAGGCAAAGATACCGAGTATGAAGAGTGCTGGGTTGATCTCGAGCCGGTACTTGCTAATGAGAAGAGAGAATTTAGGAGCTGGGTGCTCAAGACTGAGGCTGAGGGGACGAGGGGGATGCTGGCAAGGATTGGAGAATGGATACAAGGTGTTGTTAGGAGGGGTGATGAGACGAGGGTTGTGCGATTACTTTGGGAGGAGGTTGAAAAAGGCATACCTGGTAGATGGATAACGACTACGATTATTGGAGCACTAGAGGTACCTGGCGAAGCCTTCGAGATTTCGCAAAAACTGGAGGTTGGAACAAAGTGTAGAGGCGTCGATGGACTGGAATGGGAATGTGTCGAAAGCTTCGATTGGAGATAGTGATTGTGGTGGGTGAAACCTGATTGTCATGAAGCCGAAATCTAACACGACTTTGATCAAAACAGACGGTCGAACTAAGGACCAAGTGACTAGGTTGAAGGTGCTTTGTCCTTGAAAGCCTTTACTTGCTCCTCTCTACTAAAATATCTTCTAACACGTGTATGCCATTCCCATAAAGCTCATAGAGCAATTTCTAGGAATGGTCTGGGCAGTTATATGTTAGTTTTCCGGACTTCGGAGTGTTGCTGTTCTTTTTACCTTCAAGTCGAAGGGCATGGACCTTATAGTACGATCCTAGGTAAACAGATTCAGGTTTCTTTCCTTTTCTGCAGTGCACAATGTAGTTCTATTCTGCACTGTACGTTCAAAACTTTAAAATTTGCTTGGCTGGATTACTCATTCAAGAGGAACGGTGAAATTATTCTGACTCGTGATGTCTTCGGTCCTATTGACGACTTCCCCGCATAACGACCCGCAATAGCTGCATGGTTTAAACCCCAACTATGAAAAATCCCAGGAGCGGTTTCGTCACTAAGGCATGGTGCGGAGTTCACATCATTTGACTCGGCAATTCGAGGTTTGTAAAATGGGATGATATAACAAGTACATGCCCCTACTACCATAGCTTGCTAACGTTTATGAGACCAGGATTATTCAAAATGTTTTTCGCTAACAGTTTCTCTCACCGAGGTCTTCAGTCATCCTTAGTTGGTGCATGGTTCGTAAGAACATGTATAGCAGTTAATTCACTGATAGTTGGGACAACTGTGGGGACAGTCTATGGTCTTATTAATGGTACCACACCAAACGTAGCTCAGTTCTTGGGTATTCCCTACGCAGAACCACCTGTTGGACCCCGGCGATGGCTTCCTGCGGTTTCCAAAGCACCAGTTGGCATAATTGATGCTACCTCAATTAGCCCTGCATGCCCACAATTCGAAAGTACTATCACTTCAGTATACAATGTTGATGCAAGAAACTTCCTTATTTCTGGACCAACTTCCGAGGATTGCCTAACGCTTAATATTTGGGCACCAGTCACTTCAGCAAGCAACTGTAGTGAGAAGCTTCCGGTCCTCGTGTGGATCTACGGTGGTGGCTTCCAAACTGGAGGGGGGAGGATTGGTTACCAAATTCCCAGCCAATGGGTTCAACGAAGCCAACAGCATATTGTTGTAGGCATCAAGTATTTCCACCTGCCTATTTTTTGTGTGCGAGTATAGCTAACAACTTTGCAAGCTATCGACTGAATATCTTTGGCTTCCCAAACGCGGTGGGATTGAACTCAAGCGACCTCAATCTAGGGTTTCTAGACCAACGTCTCGGCCTCGAATGGGTGCGCTCAAATATCGCTTCCTTTGGTGGTGATCCTTCTCGTATCACACTATGGGGACAATCTGCAGGAGCCATATCAGTCGACTCCTACAATTTTGCCTATCCTACGGATCCAATTATCGCAGGTCTCATCATGGACTCCGGAACTGCTCTCTTACCGCTTGGAACAACTGACCCAACACATTCCAATTTCACTTTCGTAGCTTCTCAATTCGGGTGTGGCAATCAAACAGCATCAAGAGAATTAGATTGTATGAGGAATGTGAGTAGTGCCAACATTGAGCTCTTTTTGAAATCCTACAGTGATAATGGAACTCAACCTTCTATTTCGTTCAACCCTGTTGTTGATAACAGGACTAAGTTCACCAATTATACTGCCAGGGCTTTAGCAAAGAACTTTACACTTGTTGTAAGTTTTGTCACTTCTGTATTTTCCAACTTCACTCGCTAACAAAGGCAGCCAGCAATCATCGGGACAAACACAAACGAAGGCGTCTCTCTCGTAGATTGGAACCCCAATGGCGCCAACCAGACAAATGCGGATCTCACAACCCTCGGAGCATTTCTCTGTCCCGCAGTCCAAACTACCACGTCCGTCCTTAACATCCTCATTTTCTTCCCCACATAACTAACACCAAACCAGAAACCGTCTCGCCGTCAACGCAACAACATATCGCTACCTGTACGCCGGCAACTTCTCCAACCTCGCTCCTCGACCCTGGGAAGGCGCTTACCATTCCTCCGAGCTTCCCCTCATCTTTGGCACAACAAATATCAATTCGACTCGAGAATCGAGCACTGATTTTGAACTCGCATTGAGTAGACAAATGCAGGACTTGTGGTTGGCGTTTATTAGTGACCCGGTCAATGGGCTGCAAGGAACCGGGTGGGAGGAATATAGCACGAGTGGGCAGGCTGTGGAGTTTGGGAAGGGGGGTGTGCTGGTGGGGAGGATTGGGAGTGAGACTCTTGAGGGACGTTGTAATGGACAGTATCCGAAGGTGGGAACGAGTCCGCCTATGTGATTGAGGACGACCATATAGGAAACTATAATTTAGGAAAGTAAGCTACTGAGATTGTTCCTACCGTCTTCTGGTTTCGATTCTACCAAGATCACTTCAACCAAAAAATACCATATATGAAGTACTATTACTTGACCTCGGTACTGGGGTAAGCCTAAATTAAATAGAAAGAACCATTCTCCATCCACTGAAGCTAAGCACTACCGAAACTTCCCTTTCAATTAAGAATGTTCTCATACATGATCACAATTCATTCCATAGCTCCTTAAAAATCAAGGCTCCATAAGAATCTTTGACACGAATACCTAAAGACTTTACGTGGTTGAGTAATAAGGTGTTGTCGGTTAGGGTTTATATTTAATAAAAGTTCAAATGGGAGTGGCAGACCACCTGTGGTATGCCTAGGGGCATTAAAGGCCCCGAATACTTGTAAAGTGAGTTTTAGAAAAGGTAAGTTGCTAGATACCCGCGTGGAATTTTCGGTGTGTTGATTATTGACTCTTGGAGGGATATAGTTTGTTCCTGTAGATAAAATCCTCAGGAGTTGGTTTTTCGTCGATTCGTGGCTTGTTCAATGTTCCCAGTTAAGGTTATTTTGAGAAGCGCTGTAGGAAGCAGAATGAAAATTTTGTGTTTGAGATTTTGCAATAGTGGAATCTCGGTGGCGAGATTCTTTGCTCGAGGACGATTCGCCAACACGATGTGTTTTCTTCGTGATTCACCGCTCAAAGACTTTAAGAGAACACAACCCAATGCGGTGATTAGATATTATTTCGAGAGTAGATCGTGAGGATCCTCTGTGCTGGGCTGGCATGATAGCACTTTCTTCGCCTCACGAGGATGACCCCTGAGAGTGGCCCCCGAGAATGCCTGAATGGTATTATTTAGCCGGTCTCTTGATGAGATGAAGGCAAAGGCCCTAGAATGAACCCATCCTATATTAGTTGGCCTTAGAGACGAAAGATTTCTACTCTTATCATACTGGAAGTGGAGACATCTCCATTTGCTTCTCTCTTCATAAGCGAGGACTTTGGAATTTAAAAATAAAACTTTGCAAACCAGAACTACAGTTAAATAGACACGCATTGAGAATATAGAATTCTCTCAGTATAACTAAAGTAAGCCAAAACCAAACGTCAGGTTGAAGTGGAAAAGCTAGAAGGGAACATTCAAAAAAGGATTGGCCTGAACTCGGGTTTGAACCGAGGACCTCGCACAGACAAGCTCTGCAATATTTATGTTTAGGAGAAGATCCCGAAGCGCGAATGCTACCACTACACCATCCAGGCTATTTTATGGAAGGTGAATACCTACTCGGACTTATAAAGTTCAAATGGAAGCGGTGGTATGGCTGTGAGAGGGTGTGAGTCAAACAGTGAGAGAAAGAACATACGAAATGTAAAGAAGATCTTCGGATTATCATTAGTATGATGCTTTACGTTGGAGAGAGAGAGAAGAAATGGAAAGGGGAAACGGGAGAGGTGCAAGCTGCAGACAGGAAGCGTGCCTGATTTTCGAGAATTGAATTGAATTGAAAATTTGATTTCTTCTTTAGTGTTAAGAGAAAGAGTGACTTTGACAGACATCATCTTCACGCGTAACAATTTCAGGCCTCACGTCACAGTTAATTTCTAACTTTTCATCCCCTTGCTTTTCCACTCGGTATGCCGTGATCCTTTTTCCTTGCGATTTTCTTCCCAGCCCCTCTCGTGGTATATCCACCGCCTCGGTAAGCAGGCCCTTTCATCGACCACTATCTGCACAACGCCAATAAAACCTCTCCATTTATTGCTCAAAGCTCATTACCAAAACTTACACCAACCCCCCCGTCTAGGAACCTCCACCATGCTGCCCGAAACACAACATGACTATGTAGCCCGGAGACCCAGGAAGGGAAATGACTCGGGAAAGCGTTTGCTGCTCTGTTACACGACCCTCATTACCCTACTGATATGGTTGTGTGTAACGACGCACGGAGTACAGGTTTAAAGTATGTATTGCAGGCTGGAAGTTGGGAATATGCGAAGTGCTGATCTTACGGAGGGGAGAAATTTTACTGAGGTTTGATGGTAGTGTGAGGTAATAAAGCAGACAATGGGAATGGAGGGATGGGATATGTTGTAGAGTGTAGTTGAATGATACAGGGGATAATGTAGTCTAGAGACGATGGAGTTTTTGAACTCAAGTTGACATGAGCTTGCATATATTCCGATCCAGTAACCTTAGATCATCACTCCCACTCTCTTCCTAAGCTGCATAGTGTATCTCTCTTAGAAGAGTTAGGAATCGTTCATACGTAAGTATTGCCTAGTGAATAAACGAGACCAATAGCTAGTCATCTCTAGAATGTTATTTCAAACTCTATGTTTAGTGGCACAATTTATGGGTTCACTCGTCTATGTAGGTTTATCGTGAGAAGCTCGGGGTAATATAGTGGCACTGTAGTTGCGGTTGGATATGGGAATGATATATGTGAACTAGTTACTCAGTTTGTTTAGGGAAGCATGAAAATTGTGGGGCAAGGCTTGGGAAATAAGATCTGCTATGTCGAAACCTTGTATTACACCTTTCTCGTATAAGTTAAATCCTGGGCCATCTAAACTGGCCAAGGTTAGTAAACTGAAGTCGTAGTTTAACTCAAAATGCTGATGGAGCTATGTCCACTGCTAGGTTATGGTATATATGAGTTAGAAGCAGGTATTGATCTGACTAGTAACATCTCTTTACATGTGATACTTATGTTTATCCTCTCGTCGACATAAATTGATAAACTTGGAAACTCCGCTGGCTCTCGGTGCAAGATCTTGCTCCATAGTGAATAAAGAAGCTCTGTATTGAGTGGGTATAGTTCATTCCGCTATCGATGTCGTGATAAGATCTCTAAGTGCATGCCGCGTAACGCTATGCTTGAACGTTCCATGCTTGTACCTATGTTGTTGTTTACTTTTAGGCAACACCATTATAAGGCATACGAAACGATATGCTGTGACAAGTAGCAGAATAAGCGTTGCAGATGGCGTATAGCACCACGTGTAGTAATGCCAAATAGGTACAATTCTTTATGGCACAGCTTCCAATACTTCTGTAATGCATCTTTGGCATTATTGCCTTGTAACAACACGTGCAAACGAGACCCTTGGTGGCAATGTTAAGTGTTACAAAAGCAAGTGTTCGGGTATTGAGCAAAATTCCAAATCCGAGGTGAATACAAGGTAAGAAATATTCCGAGACAAGAAGATTGACATTAAAGATTACTCCACACCTGGAACACCAAGGCTCATGGTCCATAAATTGGAAAACCCCTCTCGTTCAATGGTAGGTGGGAATGTTCCTTCATCTATGAGTTTGACATCGGAAACACTGGAGATTTTCACGATCGCTGGACCGTTGTCCTGAAACTTCATGCAGAGAGCGGGCGATCGTGTAGCTACGGCTTAAATCTGTTGGTCTAACAGATCAATCGAGGCAAACGATGGCGAAAGCCGGAACTAATCCTTCTCGGAGTCTCATGATCCTTGGTTCCTTCTCTCAGCCTTGTGCGAGGAAAGACCTCTTTCCCCACAAAATGTCAACCCCAGGCATAGGGAGTATGAAACTGCCCCTAGATTCTTCTTCCAGCTCGACAGGCATGAACGAAACAAAACACACACTTGAATTTTTGAAGCCACGTGAAAAATGTTGAAATTGGCCACCTCGGCGCTCGTTTGAGATGACTGCATAGGAATAATTTCGGGCGACTAGGTCGTGCCGGCACGTGTATCTCAGAAAAGGGGAATTCCACACGTGATAGTCGCATTCTTCAGCATTCCGTTTGGCGGGAAGGAGAAGTGGGAATAGAACTAATAAATCCTGTGAAGAAGAAGGGAAACAATATTCATGCAAAACTTTGAAATGGAGTTTGAAAGTCCCAAAAGATCGCGGAAACCGAAGAATGCGAACCCGGAAAAGGGTGCTGACCAGCGGTTCAAGTAAAAGGATGCGACTCTACCCATGACGCCCCGCTCCCAATTCATGCAAGCAATTTCCCTGACGTTCGAGCCTCTTCAACAAAATAGGTTCCAACATTCGAAGGTTGGATTCCCAACCTTTGACACCCCGTAGCTTTTGCTTTGGTACATATCATTTCATACCAAAAATAAGTTTCACCAACCAGCACGCCACTCCTTTGCCTGTTGGATAGCGTTTAAGTGATATTGCGTACCAGAAACTGTGGCTTATTGGCTGAGTAGTGTGGATCTACGCGTGATCCAAGATGACGAACAGAGCGGGAGGCGTTGATGTCGAAATGACCCTCACAATGGGCGAACGGTGAGAACTGCAGAGTTATATTGCACGTAGTATTTGTCGGGATTGAGGTGGAAGAATGAACGCGGATATGGACCCGGTTTCTTGTGAGTGGCTACTGGGAATGTTGAAACCAGGAGAGACCTTTGGTCCGGATAAATAGAGGCGTCAAGGTTTGAATGCGGAGTTGGAAGCTTTTCGTAGCTTCTCTACATCTTGGAGAAAGTCAAAAGACTGACTCGAGGTTCAGTCTTTAGTCTCGAGGATGTTTGGAGCTCAGAGTTTAACGGCCCTTCGATGTTCCGTTTTGCTTTGACATCGCCAAGACCATCCCTCTCGCTGTTAGAACACCAGCGGAAAAGCTTAATAATAACGCGTCAAAGTCGCGTTTTAGCCGCTTTTTCATTGGCGTTCCGGCGCGTCTACCGTCACGACTCCTCATACGAGCTATCTACTGTATTTGGCCTTTCTTTACGCGTATCCATGCCTCTTAAGCCTAGCCACTAGAGATCTGTGGTGATCGGATTATAGACGCACCTGCAAGGTAAATCCTCATGTCGTAACCTGGTCGCATCCTAGATCTGATCATACCGAAGCCCGTCTGAGGCCGCCCAAAGATTGAACTAAAACCTGTTATTTGGAAAGTACCGCTGAAAGAGGAAATTGCGTGCTTCTTTTTGATGGGACATCAGACCGTCAACCTCAGCTTGCTTGGATCTCCCCTCTTCAGATGTTACTTTGGACCTATGAGCGTCCCGGAAGCCATTCTGGAGGGTGAGTGTGTTGTCAAGAGTCGGTAATGGGCCCAAATCTACGGGAATTGGTTGTTTGTGAAGCCGGCCATGAGGAAAGCAGGTCATATCAGGTCGAGGCTTGGCAGAGAGGGGTTTTGATGTGCCGAATTGCCAGTGCAAGGTGAGCCTCGTTGAGCTTCGAAGTCGAACTAGCGGGCGTCTGAGAATGTCTTATGCCACATCGTAAAAGCATCATTTTTGCCTGTTCGAGGAGGCGCGGAGATTTGTTGCCCTCATCATCGTCCAAGTCAAAGCGTCCCCGCCGTTGAGATTGAGGTGGATGTTGTGGATCGGAGGGGTCTGAGCGAGGGGCAAGCAGATCAGATCGTGACCCTCGAGATGACCCAGGCTTAAACGAGCAATTTCAACAACACATCATGAACTCTCGAAATGGTACGGAAAGCGGCTGCAAAGGCTGCTGTGTGAAGGCGCTCTCTTCAGCAGCTCAGCTTTCCATGTGAAGATAAATTTGGTCTTAAGAAGCGAGCATTTCTGTCTTGTCCTGCAATGCAGCCAGGGACAGGGGAATGGCATCGGGCTGCAGACGGCCTCCAAGCTCCGTGATTGGACTTGGACACACACGCGATCCGTCTGATTTACAACAATGACGGGGACATGCTTCCACTTTGACAATAGAATCGTCAGCTCCCAAGTCATCGTGCGCGCCTTCTTGTTGGTGTTTACAGGCTACTCTTTGAGTCTGACAGCGCTTGTAAACCTACACTTCTGCTGTTGTGTTCTGTAGTCCGGACTCGAGTGTCTGATTTGGAACACAATTTTCGACGATTTCGGTGTGAATCTCGGAAATGTCAGGTCTGGATAGCCTCAATTGTCAAATCTCTTCTCATCTGGAGATATAAGTATAACTTTGATGTCCGAGAGTCGGTCGTTGGTACATGCAGAAAGCGGGATTTGCTGATGAGAGGGAGACCTTTCCAACTACATGGAAGTGGGATGGATGAATGTGTATTTAAAGAATGGCAGTTGCATGGCGGCTCTGTTATAGATATCAGATGGAGCTTCAAGGTCTTGATTTAGCAACAATGTTGTGACATAATTCTGCAATATGTACCGGTCGGAAAATTCCAGAAGAAGTGTTGCATGCGTGTTCTTCCCAAGAGGCGTTCAGTTTGAGACTTTCAGATCTAAGACTTCGATATAAATGGTCTCGAAAGTGTTACTCAAACAAATACCTCACAAGTTATGGATTG